CAGTTTTTGAACCAAACAACAGAAAATGGCATCATATGTTAAGTAGAAGAACCTTTTGGGTTCATTCAGTGGTTACAATCAAAAAACCAGATGGTAATCTGAGAAACTACATGGCTTCAAAGGAACTAAATGAAAATATCAAAAGAGAACATTTTCATCTGCCAACTTGAACAACACAGTGAAGCTGCTCTCTAATGGTGCAGCCAGATTCTGGCAAATACCTCCTCAAGAGACAAGTTCCAAAATAAATTGTTTTGATTACATAGATTTTTCAGACTTCCTTTTAGCATATGTTCCATACAGAAGTGATCGATAAAAATATTACTACATCAAATGTTCAAAGGAATTCCTTGTGCATGGTGTGCTAGCTTACCGATACAGGAGCCTCTGCAAAGACATATGAAAAAAGAATGTCACATACTAAAAATAGCAATAAAAAGCCCTAAAAAATGTTTAATAAAAAAAAATACATTTTTAAACAGGATAAAGTACAGCAGAGGAATTGAGCTCTTTTCAAGAGAAAAGTAAAATCCATCTTACAAAAATTTAAGAACAACTTGAGAAACTTCAGGAATAAACATGCTGTTTTGCTGCATGATGACAACATTGGAAATTAATTCAGAAGTCTCTATTATGATAAGATATTGTCTGTGAATTCAGCATCACAGGTACCAATAAGCTTTTTACCAACAAAGAAAACTGGGTGGCTGTCCAAAGAAATTTACAGTCTTTTAGATCAAGTCATTTTTTAATAAGACAGTTGGAATGAAAAAGAATCTAATAAAGAATGGACATGCTGGAAGACAGGATGATTTAAAAATTCTCACCACACCACTGGTGCCAAAATATTTTACACAGAACCATCAGAGTTTCCAGGGATGGAATACAAAATGTTCTGAAAGCCATGCAAGCAGTATAAAAGATGTTTTTCATCTGTAGATTTTACCACAAGCCCATTCAGGTCTAAAACATAGACTTTAATAACAGAAATTTTCAAGGGCCAAGTGCTGAGAGTTTAATGCCCTAGTGAATAAGTGTTTATAGATTAAAAGCCTTGACTAAAACAAATAGGAAGTCTTTGTCTCAATTTAGAAGATTAAGTATACCTCTTTCAAGGATATGAAATCACTGCATTTACAGAAATACAATTTGATATTGGATTATAGCCCAGATAGCAACACATTACCAACAAATACACACAACACATTTCTCTCTAACAAAGTGTTAGGGCAAGTAAAAAGAAAGTAGGTGTGCTCAGTTAGTTTACTTGTCCTCAAAAGATATGATGCACTATAGTAATGCAGTAAAATTATCAACAGATTGCATTAAAAACCAAAACTCATAGTAATAAACTATGAAACAGAAGTACAAGAACCAAAGTTAATTTAAGACCACAGGGTATAATCTATTTTTGCAAATTCTCCAACATGGGATATACACAGTAGCATTGAAAAGAACAACCAAAAGTGACCATCAGGATCACTGGACCAGCCTAGCATGAGAATGGCTAGCAAGCAAAATAAGACGACAGTTAAATATTGAAAAAAACTGAAGCCAACAGGTGAGAGCAACCATTTCTTTAAATTCTAAAGTGTCAGGACTATGAGATACAACTGGAATACATACCAATTCCAGGGTGAAAACAATGTTTGCATTGTATAGCACACAACAGTAGTATTGTAACTACTGACAGTGAAGAGCAACTGGGTAGAACAGACAAGAAAGGATTTCCTGAGAGACACAAGTTCTGCCTAATCTTCAGGTCCAGCAGCCATTTATATGGAAAAAGAGCAGCCTGTCATATTATTTGGAATTATCAAATTTCTAACATACTTAGCACACCTATCTTGGTGGCGTGCTTGTCACCACTACTATTAGTCTCTCCTCCTCCCAGTGCTGCCCAATGTGTGGCACATTCTTTGTAACATTTTGTAAGCACTGGAGAGCAGGAACTACATATGTAGCATCAGAGTAACAAATTACAAAGGAACTTGATTGAGGAAGAGGAAAACACTACTACAACACAAATAATAGTAATAGAGAAAAGCAAATGGAATAGGAACTTTATTGGGGGGGCAGAAGAATCTCTTCAAAGAAACCTGACACAGAACGTGGGTAATTTACAGAATGATTCACCTGCCAGAAAAACCTGCTGCAAAGTTGCTCAAAAAACCCAAACACCCTCTTCCCACCCCCCCCAAAACAAACAAACAAACAAAAAACTCATTGCTTATTGAATCTGCAGGTGGAGGAAAAAAATCCCCTCGCAAAGCAAGACCCATGCAAACCTTATTATGTGTCAGATCACTTTATCAGAAAGGGATGCCTGTCAGTTCAGACAAATAAAACAACAAATGAAATACACCCAAATCTGCAACAACAACAGATACTTTTGAAGTTAAAATGGTACATGCCAATTCATGAAAGTCATCCTAAAGCCCCTTCTCAGAAGAAACAAGTTGTCCTAATCAAAAAATCAAGATATCCCAGAAGTAAGACTGATTCAAAATAGCATTACAGTAACTCATCAAATCCTCTACTGAAGGACAACTTATATTTGTAATGAGTTTCAAAACAAAATTAGTATTGTGAATGCTCAAATCCTTGGACACACTAACTAAACAAAGAAACAAGATGACTACATCTAACTAGGGATTAAGACATTATAAACATGAATTCATTGTAGTCTCACTATACAGTATCTTCCAAAAACAGAAAAAAAAGAAAGTTTGCTGAAGTTATTTTTATTGCATTAATCCTTACTTTTTTACCTACTTAAACAAAAACAATTCTGGAAGGGATCTCTTAGCTGACTACAGAAGAAGTTGAGTGATTTCTGGATTAAAAATGTAAAGCTCAAGCTTGAAAATCCTAGTGTACTATTTAAGCAAAAAAGCAAAAAAAGAACATCAAGTTGCTGATCTAAGTACTTTGTGATTATTTTTTAAATAAAGCAGCATACTGATAAACACCTTTCTTCTTTCAAATCAGCTGCTAATTCTTCATGTTTCTCTTTTATCACTATCAAGGCAAATTTTGAAGCTCTGATTCAGACCATGATTCACGGGAGAATCAGATCTCAGCACAGCAGAAACCCACACAAGTTTCTGCAGATTTGGATTAATAATATCTTGCGTCAGTCTGACATAAACAATTTGGGAAAGGTAAATGCAAAAAGCAGCTACCGCTATCTGAGCCGATTTTAATTCCACTGTTAAATACAGCCCACTGGACAATATCTCACTTACCTGATACTGTAAATAACTAAAATAAATTTTATGTGGCCCTTACGCCGACCTATATATGACCCATAAAGCAGTTTTCTTGATAATCCTGAGTGTTAGAAAATTTTCTTGCTCTGCCTTTTGTACCTTTACATAGACAAAAGTTTTCTATTTTCATTTCTGTATGTTACATTTTCTGTTAACACGCTACCTTGAGCCTGTGACAAGCCAACAAGGCAGCCCCAACAACCACTCATGCACCATTTCTCTGTGCATGTGCTCTTTTCCTAAATTTACATCTGTTAATCATGTTTGATCTTCAAGCAAAGTTTGCAATATGGAGAATACCATAAATCTAATATCATATTTGTATAAAATAGCAATATTTGTATAATTTGTATAAAATATCAAATCTATGATTTACAGATACAGCACCATTTTCAGAAACATTGTGAAATACAATAAGGTAGAAGCAATATCAAACTTTTAAGTAGATGTGAGATATGCAAGGATTCCACTCCAATAACCATCATGAGCATGAGACTAGCTCTTACTAAGGGTAGATAAACAGAAAATTAGAGACCTCACATTACAAAATAGTACAGCTCTTTGCTCTGTGCCTTTTCTGCTAGAAGGGACAGATATTTTTAAACAGCAGCAGCAAGGACACAACACTAGAAACTTGCTAAAGCACATGAGCCCTTGGAGAGGGTGTTATTTTAATGATGAGTTTTGAACTCTAATGTAAATATATTTATAATACATACATTATCCCTGCCTTGATAGACTAGAGAAACTTACCTTATCTTCAGTTGTCTACTAACAAATTTATTTATAAATTATCTAATTGAAATTAGCTGCTGTATTTGGGAAGGGAAATAAACATATCAGACTGTACTGCACGATTCTAGCACAGCCATGCAACCTTTTTAGTTTTAGGACTCCTTGAGGCCGTGCATTACAGGTCTGTACTACACAGCCCCTAACAACCTGTTTTATTACAGTAACAAATGCACTACCAAAACAAAAATTGCACTGCAGTAGTTAGTTATAGCCTTTATGGGAAACACCAGGAATGCAGAAAATGGCATTCAGTCGCAATCTCACTTATACTTTTGGAAGACAAGACTCATCCACTAATTCTCTCTTGCTTTCTGCATCTGTTGTTCTCAAAAGCTCTAGAACTGCAACTGCCAAATACACCTTTACTGGAAAAAATGCACTCAACTTTAATTAAAGACGTTTACATACCTTAAAATTTTTAAAAATTTACACTTAAAACTACTGTTCTTGATTTCATTCTCAACTCAGAGACATGTTTTTTAAACTGGTCTGTCTTCATGTTACGTAATTATGATGAATACTCCCCTATAATTTAATTTTTTTTAAGCTAGATTGTCTGCGATTAGCATAGCAGTAGATTCAGTTTGTGGAAGTTAGCACACGCATCATTCACAATGTGAGGTGGCACAGTAGAAGCAGAGAACATGCCAGTTCTAATGAAATGTATCCAAACTGTCCTCTCTGCTCCATTTTAATTTTCTCCTTTACATAAAAATTGATTCTGAAAATAGCAAAGTCTATATAAAAAATAAAAAATATTTACCAGTTGTGTCAGACATTAGATTATTTTCTAATATAAACGGAGTAAAATATTTCCTAAGAGTTTCTAAACTGAACTGATTATTATGCAATAGCTTTCTTGTAAGCAGTCTTGTAAGCACTTGATTTTTATGATTAATTTTCATAACTAATAAATGCAACATCAATACATACCTGCAATTTCTTCTATGGAGTTAGCTCTCATGTCCAAAAGAACTGTGCCATTCAGGATACAGCTTCTCAGCTCAAACAAGCTGTGAAGTGACAGTGTGGCAACATATGGTTTGCTCCACCTCTCTCCACCATCCTCTACATCTTCCTCAAACTTCAACCACCTGTACAAACAACCAATTTTATAACTCCATTGTGCATAAGAAATGAAAAATAAATTAATTCCATGGATATTGAAAGATCATTGTTAAACTTTATTCTTTCTTTGTAGGAAATACGAGAAACTTCCCTTGCCTGCTTCTTCCCACATAATGCTGTATTATGCCATCTTTTAAGATAAATTCCAACCACGGAGATGAAGAGAAGTGTATTAAGTAATCATTATTGTACTTTACAAAAAACTTTGAGTAGTTCTTTGGCATACAGTGATATTTCTATGATAGAACTAGTATGAAAAGGATAGAAGAGAAGAATTTGTGGTAGAGAAAAAGAAAAGCTATATGTAATAAGAACACTAGAGACAACTTTCTCCATTTAGTCTTCACTTTGGACTAAACACAACAGAGAAGAGACATTTTTCATTTAAAGTAACTATATTGACATATTCACACTTCACAGAATCTGCAACCATTATCACCACCATAATGTTTTCACAAAAGACACTGTTACAATCTTTCTTGGTTTAAGTTAGTTAGTTACTGCACTAAGCTACTCATAAAGGCAGTAAAACACTATGCAAAATTCAGGCTATTTTTCATTTAAAAGTTCAGTCAATCAAAATGAAAAACCTCACAGGCACATACATGCACACACAAGCAATGTGCAAACACTTGTGAACAGTCTTTCAAGCCCCAGAATATGGGCCTTATTCAGACAAAACAGCCACGTGAATGACATGAAATAGCACTTCAGAATCTAGTAACCACATCGTATCTCACTATTTTGAGTGTCATTTGCCTGTTCTCAGGTTCAGTGTAAAACTGGACAGATTTCAATAAAGTAAAAGGGTACATGAAACTGGCATGAGAGGATCAAGTCTTTTCTTACTAGCAAGCTGGATGAACTTTCTCGCGTGACTTAATTGTTTACTGATAAAAATTACACTAAAAATGTTAAAAGAATACTAAACAAACAAACAAACAAACAAAAAAAACAGAAAAGTCTGTTGCCACATGCAAAAGTGGTTTAAATTAAAGTTATTAAGTCTTTCAAGCATACGCAGATGTTGCTGCATGAAGCCATGCAGCCTGCCAGCTTGGCAAGGTTTGAACAGCTGCGGCCACTGCACAAGCCTCTATCACTTGACTCAACAGCACTCAGCTATTTTATATGGACCAGAGATAGCAGAGAAGTCAAGCAGAGCCTCACACCTTGACAGCACCTTCACACTTATTTCCAGACAGCAGGGAAGCACAGAGCCTTAACACCTCTAAAGCTCAGCAATTTCCAGTTTTACCAAGCCTCGCAGCCCAGTAACACAGCAAACACAGCTGTCCTGGCTCACCTCCCTAGCTCTGCTCCTACTTGTAAAATAGCCTGTGCACCCATATTTTAGATACTTTCCTCCCTTCGGTCCCTGTGTACCAGATACCTCCCCTTCTAATGCAATCCTGCAAGCAGTCACCACTTCAGTGACCCACTCATCACCAGCATATCTGCTCCCTTCCCAATACATTCCATTTCTTCTAACTGTACCAGCTGCCTCCTGATCACTCTCCCATTATTTGCATAGACAATTTGCCCCTAACTCCTCATCTCCTCCAAAATCTCCAGTCTCCTGTGTCTAGCCCTCTCCTCCTCTTTGTATTGAAACATTTTTCCCTCCATTTCCTCTGTGCTGGCCAGTTCCTGTATCTCAGCTTTGCACATGAGACCTCCTTCTCCTCCATCAGACTTCTGATCTCCACTCCCTTCATTGCAACCTCTCTTCTCTTCCCAGCCTAGCCAGGCTATCTCCTTTACCTTTTCATTCTTCCAGAGAAGCAGCAAGAGGGACACAGCACACATAAAAATTTGCTTCCACAGAGTTGAACCGTGAAATTGAATTTGCATATGCAAATGAGGTTTTCCAAATAGATTTTCAAAGCAATGTCCAAATGGACTTCAAACACAAATTAACAGACCCCATCAAATTCAAAGCCATGGTTTGAAAGGGATAAGCTACAACAACTCAGGAAAGTTACCAAGAAGCATGTGAGAAGGAAAAAAAAGTTCTTCATTTTTTCCATTTTGCAGTTGCACTTGAACTCTGTAAGAAGATGCTGCTCCTAGCTTGCTCATGGTGCTCATGTTTCCAAGCTAAAAATATGCTAGACTTATTTGTGGCCATAACATCACAAACACGGTGCATTAATTGTCCTGCGTAAACTATTGCCTCCTAAGACACTGTCAAATATCTACATTTTTATCTTCTCATACCTCTGGTTTTGTGTATGTTTCTAATCTCATGAGGAGCTTTATAAGATTATGACCTTCGCGCTTGGGCATTCCCAATTTTTTCTGATGTAGCATCATCTTGTTTTATGCTGATTCAAAAAAAGTTTAAAAATCATGCTACGTATAGCCTAAAAACAATGACCCAAGCACAGATTCTTACAGAATATGATCAGAAACCCCATACTGTCATTAGCTTCTGTTCATGTAAATAGGCTTCAACATTGCTTATCTGATTATACTGCTGCAGTCTGTCCTTGATATTACCTATTTTGAATATACTGACCAATTCTAAATAGATTTTAAATGAGAGATAAAAGACAAACATGTTCTTAAGAGTTTCATTAAGACAGGTGACTGCACAGAGGCAGGCTCATAACCAGAGCTCATAACTTACTAGGGACACATGGACAAGAAAAGTCTAAATCATAAAAACAGCTTTAATTAGAGTTTATGGTGTCAATCAGATATCAAAGCTTACGCACAACATAAAAATCCATAGGAAACTATTGCTACTGCTCAAATAATCATACTTGCCATCGTGATCATCTTCATCTGAGTTTCAATCAATTTGAATAGTATAATTCTATGGGTTGCATCCAATTTCCTACTGTTACTAAAACTTATGTGTTTAAACACATTATTATACATTGTTACTTAATGAGCCAACAGGCTAGTACATAAACGTAAATCATACTCAGCTGAGAGAATTCTACATTTGGAATAAACTTCTGTTTCGATTTCAATAAGCATTATGTGAGTTTACTCATCAAGGGAAAGTCATGTTTATCACCTTTTATCTTTTCAGAAATATTCCTCTGTTATGTCAGATAATCCTTATTTAACATATCAAATGAGAAACAGCAGCAGAAAACAAACAAATCTCTAATCTTACACGTAGTCATTCAATTCTAAGTGTTCAAGTGGTTTTAAAAGTCATAATACCTTTTTAACAACCCTCTGAATTCATGTACAAGATTCTAGAAATGGTATCCAGATTCAAGTATGGATCCCAAGTTTTTTCTACTCTTTTTAGTTTCTCAGAGAAAAAGACAAATTAAAATATATTTACTTTTGCAGTTTAACCCCTTAAAATGATATGGTTGATAAATAAAAGCCTTTCCTAATTTCCCAGAAAACAACACCAACCCCATTTGTATATTGAGCTCACATGTCACATGTATCCCATGTGCCAGTAATACATTTAGAGCTATTTTAGTTGTGTCTGATCACACAGAAGAGGAGCTTCACTCATGATTTTCTTTGACTGGTAAATACTACCACAGGTATATCGATCACACCATTTTAGTTCTTCTCATAGCATACTTGCTGGAACAAAACATGCCAACAAGAGTTTCAACGAGGTATGTTACTATAGGAAAAATATTACTCAGATGTGTGCGTGTACACATACACACACATCCATGTGTTACATCTTCTAAAGTCATCTCCATCAATTTTTCAAGAGTCAATAAAAGAGTGTGCACACTTCACTGTATACTCAGTTACAACATTTTGGTGCACAATACAAAGTGCTGAGTTGAACATAATCTATTTTACAGTCTGTTATGTCTACAGCAGCAAGCTGGAGTATGTGCTTACTCACAGCCTGCTCAAGAGTCAATGTTATTAATGTAATCTTACAATCTGTATAAATTTCCACAAGCTTTTGCCTGCCTATGCTGATTAGAAAATGAACCAAAGTAAGCAAGCATGTCAGAAACAAAGCAGAAGTGACAAACCTAAGTTTTTTGTGACCTAGTTTCTTTGGAAGAAAGTTTTGACCCAGGGGAGATGCATTTTCACTTCATATTCGTAATTTTTCCCTAGTACATCCATTTTCTAGTCACTATTAACAATTTACTTCCTAAACTACAGACAGAGGTTTGTCAAGCCTAAACACTTTCCTGTTGGTTCCAAAGTGTCTATTTCTCCCTTACTACATATTCTTTTTTGTTCCAGAAATGTAGTGATATTCTCCCAAAATTTTCATTTGATATTAGCAGATAAAGAAGTCCCAACAGCTTGCATAACACTTGCTACTAATCAGGCACTACTTTCCAGCCATGACCACAAGAGGCTATTAGGATAGATTTGAACAAGAATTGCTTTCCTAATAGCTGCAATTTGCACTATTGTGTGTATAAAATAAGCCCAACTGTTACGCCTCAGTGTGTTTCTCCACAAACTTACTGGAAACATTTTTCTTGGAATAGAAACTATAAGTCATGCATTCTCTACACAGTTGTACAGCTGGGCCACATAAAAAAATTATTATAAGACTTACTATTGATTTTAAAAGGTATGTATTTCTTCTGGCTTGAAATCAATTAATGGGGAAAAAATAATTAATTTTATCACTACATCAACATAACTAAGCTATTCCATTCTGCTCACTAACTAATTCCATGGATGGGACAGCCTAAATCAGATTCTGGAATGGAACAGGCAGTAACAGCAGTGCACTTTCTTGCTCCTACTAATTAATCTGCAGGAAAGTTTTTGCTCAATGTTATGGGAACTGGAGAATGGCAAACCTTGGAGTCCGACTGGAAACTGCTGAGTGCAAAAAAAAAACCCCAAATAAACAAACAAAAAAAAACTAGAAAAGGACTTGCTCTTCCACACAAATGAAATAGGAATAGAGATTTACCTAAAGAACACCAAGCGTCAGTCAAATCTTACCCATGGCTCCCTTTGATAGGTAACTCTTTTGATAAACCAGGAACAAAATGTCTCACAGTTTCATGCAGTTTGCTCAAGATATTTTTAAAAAATTTAAGGCTCAACTGTGCATGCACTTTCAATCAAACTGAAAATAAGAAGATACAGATTTACTGCATCAGAGTCAACCCAACCTTTCAGTCCATGCAGAGCCCGGTGAAATGAATACAGAACCACTTAGTGCCATCACTCACATTAAACAGAATTAATGACCAAGTCTTCCTCTGTATTGTTTGCATTTAAATTCATCTACCTGGAACTATGTCCAAAGCCAGACAGTAAGATTTACAAATACTTCCAGTGGCATTATCCACACAGATGGAAAACATATAATAAGGCTGGAACAGCAACAAACTTGGGGTGTATCCTCTCCATACCATGCTATTAATCAAATCAATATTTCTTAAGTCCTGGATCAACCCCCAGTATTGAAAGTGATCCTCTGTATTAGTTTGTAAGTATATGATCTTGCATATTAAACACCATCCCATTTCTATTACCCAAAGTCACCGTGTTCTTTGTGTATGGTATCTTTATCTAATTCTACAGTAACAATACCTAATTTCCTATCATCAGCAAGTTTCATTACTACAAACCTATTTTTTGTCATTAAATAATAAAGCTATTTACTAAGACTAATTCCTCAGAAGTTAGTTGTCACTACCTTCCACACTAATAGTTTAATCTTTCAACGTGACCTGCTGCACCTCTTCAATTTTCCTTACCCACTAATAAAATTTTTACAGTAGAACACAGTTTCATTGCTGTATCATATCAAATGCTTTACATTAAAAAAATTAGATCCACTGGTTTTTCTTTGTCAGAAAAACAAAAATCAATTATCTGATTAAATAGCATTATTAAGTTAGTCTGACATGATACACCATTGTATTGCATTTTATCCAATTTTCCACTTAGCTCCAAGTCTACAATTATTCTTTCCTTCAAATATTGTTCTAAGCCATGCATAGCTCTGAAATCTGACTATCAAGCCTGTTTGTTCCAACCATTTTTATCCTTTCTTGAGTAGTGTTTCTGTGTTTGCTATAGTACAACCACCCAGCTGATAGATTCACAGTAGACGTGATTTACCATAATCATGAAATACATGTTCTTTCAGCTTTCTAGGATGGAAATTATTGCACCCTCTTATTTGCACAGATAAAGCACTTTGACTCTTGCCTTTATTTTGAATTTGGTTATTTCACTGCCATCTTCTCCTTTTCTAACAGCCAGCCACATCATATCAAATGCTGTCTGAAATTTTTTGATCCAAACTGAAAAAGATCCTTTATTTTGACCAGTTCTTTCTGCATGGCAGCCCCAATCTTTGTTTTCACCTTATTTCTAAAGCTAAAGAAATTTTTACTATTAGCTATTATACTTCACTCTTCTATTTTCTGAGCTCCAAAAATACAGTTTTCTTGGCTGTTTTTTCCTGTCCTTTTTCAAGAATCTCATCTCATTTCTGTTAAACATTTTTGATTCTTTTGTTCCCAAATGACAATTGGAAAGGCTGTACATTACAAACAGATCAATCTAAATAAAAATTCCTTTATTTCACCTATTCCTTTCAAACTCTAACTTGATTAAATATTTATGCTAAAATTGTTATAATTTTTCAGAAACACAATTCTTCAATGATTTGCAAAGGGATTTTTTTTTTAGTTGAACTAAAGAAGCTGCTATTTCCCTACTTAACATAAGCCACAGTGATTTTTATTTTTAATCACAATAGAAGCTGATACCCTTCCTAGCAGAGGTTCTATATATTCCTCATCAGTATGAGAACACTGCAGACGATTAACTTGATTAGATTTTTCTCTCTCTGAATATTAATAAGATTATTTAGGAACACTACTACATTCATTTTAGAGCACAATCTCCATATGAGAATTTTCTACATGTAAAGATCTGTATTTAGCATCTGTCTATGCCTCCTATGGACACATAAGGGAAGGGAAGGTCAGAAAATTCTGTGGCCCTCTCGGACAGCTGGAATTTGCAGTAAAATTACGGGGAAAGCTAACAGCCATATTCATGCCAAACAGCCCACATATGTAGTTCCCCACAAAATCCATTCAGAAATTCCACAATTTTTATCCTACTGACACCAAAGATGTGGTCCACAGACTTCTGGACACCACTGAGGAACACTGTCAACAAATACTGGCAGGGAAAGAGAGAATTAAGGTTCTAAGAAGAAAAATGAAGAAAGGATTGCTGGGAAAGGTAAAGTCTTAATGAAACTAAGCAAGTCATCTCCCATTTAGGTGCTCAAGGAAACAAATATTAACAAAAAAAAAGTTCTGTTCCAATATTAATTTTTTTTCAGCAGACATGCAGTCTAAACAGTCTTATCACACTAATTTTGCAGAAACAAAATAATCCAGCATTGAATACTCAAAGTCTCAAAATCAACTGTTCATTGATAGTTAGAATATGTAAAAGTTTTATTGCTCCAAAAGTAATCACATTCCTTGCTTTAATCATTTTATAATGGTAATTTTATCAGTTTCTTGAGGATTCAAACAGAATATGAAGCTTGAAAGTTTCTTAAAATGATGAGCTAAAGTATGAATAAAACCAGTAATTTTTAATTCATATATATGATATGTTTACTTTGATTTGTTTCCCTTGATATTCATTCTGACCTATATTTCATAAATCCAGATGAAAACATTTGGCTCTGGGAAACAACAAATGCTGTTGTAATACTAGCAGTCTAAGGATTAAAATTATGCTTTTATTTAAGCTTTATATCCAAAATCTGTTCCTGAGCTTGCCACAGCTTTGAAATCATTCCTCAGTACAGCAGCAACCAATAGCTACAGATAATTTTTAAAAACTCGTGAAAACACTCACCTTGCTGTCTCCCTCCACTCTGCGTCCTCTCCTTCACGCCAACAAATTTCATCAAGCTCAGTAAAGAGATCATGAGGAATGTGTTCCTCATCATCATCTTCTGTTCCAAGAATAAACTGCACCCTTTGTGATGGGGTATCTGGGGAAAAATAAAAATATCAAATCCAGAACACCAATTTTTTTGCCCTGAGCAAGCAAATACCTAAAATTTCATTAGATTATCCAGTCCAGACTCTTTCATCTGTATCACTTACTGCCACACAGAAAACGTGACTATAGTTATGCTGTAAGAACATTCATACACAAACACCTTCAGACGGAGACCTCTTTATTTACTGTAGTTGTCTAGTCTGCTTAATTAAACAAACTCATCTAAAGATAGAACATGAAGTACAGAAGTAGTGACTATTGGAAGCTGGAATGGTATCTCACAGAAAAAAAGGCAGCACAGATAGCAGCACAGATAGAGCTGATAAAAGTCTTTTACTCCAGTGTTATAAAAACTACTTTGCCACATCATAAGTCTAAATCTACAGATCTAGCTCAGCTCAGAAAGCTGGTATACTAAATGTGCATTCTTTGTTTTACCTAGCAGGAGAAAGACACCATAAGAAACCTCCCTAATGTCAATATACAACTGGGAACTTCAAAAAGAATACATCGCTATCTACACCTACCATCCCCTGCCCCTTCATAAACTGTTCCTACATGGCTAGGCTGTTCCAGATGAACAAGGTGTTTATCTGTCCCAACTTCCCCATTTTATTCTTCCTGTCTCTCTCTTCCCTTTACATTCCTCTTACCAGTTATTTTTCTTCATAACTTTTCAGTGCAGACCACTAAATATATTTTGGAGACATAGTATTCTTTTTTTGTATCACTCAGAAAATTTCCAGAACTCACAGAGCACCTTAACCTATGTGTATATTCAGTGTTCATAGCTCAAATGTTGTTAAGTCTTAAAAAAAAAAAAAAAAAAAAAAAAAAAAAACACAAACCTATTTGCTTATTTAAATGCAAATCTCAAATGAACAAACTCTAGATGAAATCCAGTGTCTCTAGAAATACATAGTTATTTCTTCTGCTAATGTATTTTAGATTTCTGAGAGAAACCAAAAGTCCTTTGTGAGAGCTGATAGGGGCCAGGCTGACAGTCAACTGAACAATTGATTATCCAGCAGAACAGTTCAGCGATTCCTTAACATTGTCTAAATGAAGGTCTGTTCTACAACCATATTTGTAAAACAAGGTACAGTATTTTCCATCTAGCAGTGTACAGCATCACTGCATAGGATCCTCAAGCTCTCTGAATTTTGGAAAAACTGAGATTATAGTACTCATTGAATGCTAGTTAAAGAACAAATACAGCACTGATCAAAAATAATTAAATGGGCCACTGATACAGGAGATTAAATTCAGCAGTAAATATACCTTTTTGGTAGTAAACTTGCCAGAGCAATGAAACACAAACAATACATGACAGTTTTCACCTGAGGTCTATTTGCTTAAACAGAGGGTAAAGATGTAGTATGGTCAAGCCTACTTACTCCTTCACAAAGCAAGGAAATGAAACCCAGGAAGAAATACAGGGGTGGAGGGAGAGAGACATGGGCTCAGGTACTGCTAAGCTCTAGAGAATGGAACTGCAAGGGGACAGAAATTACTTTTGGTAAATCATTAAAGAACCTCAACAACCTCTTCCACTTCACCCTTTCTTTTATTATTCTTCTCACTGTTCAGTCCTCTTTTTTAAGACCATTTCAACCTCTATTCTAGACCCCCTTCCAGACTCTCTCTACCTTTTTTTTTTTTAAATTCTTTATGTTCCTCATATCCACATGTTGGTACATTCTAGAGAAGGATGGAGTAAATACAAACATCAAGATTTAATCTGAGACTAGAAAGTACATTCCAGTCAAGAAGCATGCAACTTGTTAAGACTACTTCCCAGAAGGACAAAATTCAGCAAGATATGAACTTGCAAACGACAAGTGCACATGTCTAGTGACAGAATATGGAAAACAAGCTACTTTGGTAGAGTTGGACTGCAGTAAGGATCTGAGAATAAGCATTGCCAGGAACATCCTGTACTCTTGATAAAATCAGCACTAGAACTGATTTACAGCAACAGCTACTGTTAAGTAATAAATTAGTATCTTTGCACAGCAGAGCTGCAGTTTTATGACAGTTATGATACTCATGCAAATGCACGCTTTCAGTGTTGGAAGGAAAACAGAGGACCAGAAATCTCTTGAAGTCAGGTGAGTAGTAACAAGGAATCACCTTACTGCTGTGATTTGCTCTTACTGGGTCTTCTGTGTAACATACAGCTACTTGACTGACAACAGTGAAGAATCTATATAAAAGACAAAATATGCACTATATTCTCTTCTTCCTTGTTAACACACCAGTAAAACTAGCTGCTAGATTCTGGCTATCTTTCTTTGCTGCTGTAATTTGTATTGGTGTCTGAAACCTGCAAACCACAGATTGATTTTCAGATACCAAGCTGGAAACTGGGAAAAAAAAAAGTTATTGTTTGCTTTATAGTACAAAAATTTTATTTCAAGGACAAAACTCTAGGAGAATTAAACAATAGGAACACAATAAAATAAAAAAAAAAAACAGATCTGTTGTTTCTACTTATAAAAACTGAGTTAACAGGATTACTCATATGAGCAATGCCAGATGGATTTGGCTCTTATTCATAGGAGTAATAAATACCAAATATGTCATCAATGTGTTATATGGAAAATGAGTAATATGTGATTCAAAAACAGTATGAAAGAATACTTCAATTGCTGACTGTCAAACTGTGGGAACTTAATCCTCAGTGTAGAAGCATATTTGCAAACTAGGACACACAATGTTTTTTGAAGTCTAGGAAAACAGAAATTGGCTTGAATATTATCCCTGTCTATCCCTATTTCAAGTAGTACAGCCAGCGTAAAAAAAAAAATCCTTCATATTATTATTGCTATTTTTAAAAAGTAATGAAAGTAATCTAGATTAAGCTAAAAAAATTAAATGAATGGGACTAATTGGTTACATTAGTATTTCTATCACTGTTGTTGTTTTATATCAGAGCACAGAGATATTAGAAGCAACGTGAATTTAAAGTTCCAAAATAAGCAGCTGATGATTCTCCCAAGAAAATGGCTCATCACCAGTTCAGGAAATCCTCCAGGACCAGCTGGGACTGGGAAGAAAGTCTGGTACAGGAAAGGAGCAGGAGTACCATCCACAACCACCCATGCTTGGCTAATGAGTCATCTCAGTCAGGAAAAGTTGAAGCAGCTTTCTGTTTGCTGTGGCTCCACCAGCCCATGGAACCTCCTGCCAGACTTTGTGTTATACCTGGCTTTCTCTGTCTGGGCTTCTGCTCACATCATCCGTGCAGCCCTCACACAGACATCCAAACTACCTCTGATACCTCAGATTCACTGCATGCATGGAAAACCTGAGTATTCCAAGTTTAAAAATCTGTAGAACTCCACTGCACTGTTAAAAGGGTAAAAATTAAGACCTAGTGGATACACTGTTGTTGAAAGCACAAATTCACACTGGGATTCAGTGCTGCAGAAAGTAACCCTGCAGCAACCCGACATACTGCTCACTACTATAACTCTTTGTAAAGTCATTAACATCCCTAAAACAAAAGCAAGATATGGGCATAGACATGCCAAAACAGCAGTACTGAAAGCCAGAACTGCTAATAACCTAATTCCCAGAGGGCAACCTGAGGAGCTGCCCCCTTGAACAGCGCTGAGTGCAGGCAGGTGGGAATGGTGGCCTACATCACCATCCCACCTTGCAAAACACCTGTAGAAAAGAACCATAACTGGCACTTCCCCCATTTAAAATGTCCCTAAGTGCAACCACAATTCTGGGTCAGGACTGCTCCCTCTTGCCTAAGGGAACAAGGTGAAATCAAGACTTGGGCTGGGGTAAGAAAGCAGGATCATTCAGTCCCTCCGCATAAATTCAGCCCAGCAGACAACCTGCTCCACTGCATATTCAGAGTGATCCACATCTCCTCCTCAATACGTGCCAGGATTTCTCCTGAAACAAACTGCCCTGCCATCAGGCAGAACAGCAGGCAATCTGTCCAAGCCACACCTCAAGCAAAAACACAGCCTTGGGTAGGTATAAAATGTATCCAGATTCTGTCCTCTGCTCTTGATAAACTCTAGAAAGACTGCAAAGATGTAGTTCTGGTAACACTCTATTAGCTCAATTGTCAGAACAGGTTTCTGTATTTCTAAGCCTGTTGAGAACCTGCATTTAAGGGTAGTAAGAGTAGGCTAATACTTCTTATTGGGGTCAGTAGATGTAGGGGTGAAAAATTACTTTTTCTACATTAGAAAACATGCTAAATGTTAAAATAAAATTTACATTACAGAAGCTCACATAAGATTGCAAACATCATAGACAAGATTTAATCCATGCCTCATGCTCTTGTACATTCACATTACAGTAATAATAAATATACAAAATTTTTTTTTATTGTTCACTGCACAGGACAGGCTGCAGACAGGGTGTGAAGTGGCGTAACACAGTTTATATCTGTAATAACTCCTTTCAAACAAAGGGGAAATGGTGTGAAAAATTCACAGGATCACAGAAAAGAAAGGATCATTTCACACAGAGACAAACATTCATCAGCCTCTTGCTTGCACTCACCAAGAAGGGGTGGATGGGGGCTCCCCCGACACCTCCTTCCTGTGCAGATTGGACTTTGCCCTTCAGCTCAGCAACCAGTAAAGGTAGGGATCATAAATTACTTTTTTTTTATTAGAAAACATGGTAAAAATTAAAACAAAATTTAAATTACTGAAGTCCACATAAAATAGTAAATGGCCATACAGCACACTTCTGAAAATCTCTCCACAGACCTTAGACACCATGTGTTATGTTGGGATAAAGTATTCCCTTGCTAGCTCCTCTGGCACTTTATCCCTATATGTATAATCTTGTTTTCAGGAAGTTCTCTCTGCGTTTTCTTCACATGAATTGTTTTCATCACCTCAGGGCTATGACAAATAATGTTATCTTTTGGATCTGACAACATAGACAATTCCCAAGCTTCAATTCTCTTCTTTTTGTTAGACTCTTAAAACTGCAGTTATGATACATTATTTTAATCCAGATTTGCTGCAATCTGTTCCACAGCTGCCCAGAGATTCAAATTTCCAAGTTCATCCTTCAGCAGACAAAGTCTATAGTTAAGGGTAGAAGAATTCTCTTAACAGCCATACTCTTCACAAAAAATTAGATTCGCCCCATTAATACCCCTTCAAGGTTTGAGGTTAGCTACCAAATAGTCAGCTGAGTCCTTTCATTATACTTTCTTCAAGCCCCTCTAGTAACCAAGAAAAGTCCCCCTTTGCAATTCACTTTTTTGCTTGCGTTACCTTTGGAAAGCCTTTCCTGAACCGTGCATACAGTCCTCTGTTAGGCTCACCTCCAGGGCTGCTTAGCTTCCATTGCCACGTCCAATATCATGAATTACAAATTTAAGCCTCTTTTAAAAGTAGAGATTATTAAAGCCAGATTTCTTAAAAGAACCAACCAAACCTTGCACAAGCCCACAGTGTCTAGTCCTAGAAGACACCACAGGAGGCTGAAATCAAACCCCAGTCCTCACAGCTGTATTCACTTCACCCTCACAAAACCTGGCCTTAAAGACACCCTGTTGAGAGCTAAAGTCTTCTTATTCTACCCCATTTTAAAACAGAAACATAAATATCTTTAAATCGTTAATTGCAAGTACAAGAGAGTTGTTTCACTGGTTACAGGCAAAAAACAGACATCAAAAAAACACTGAAAATCGCCACTAAAATCCACGTGCATACCAAGCCAGTGCAACCCTCCCAGCCAAAGGGAAATCTGCACCAGACTTTCAGTGCCACCATGACCCTCAGTGCTGATGGAGCAGTCCCAGCCAGCTTGTGGCCCTGCAGCCCACCAGGGCTGGCACCCATCACCCCCCCAGTAAACAGCACCAAGGAGCTGCTCTAGGCTAGAAACAGCTTTTTTGTCAAACGAGGTTTAATTTGCATCAATTCCCTAATTTAACTCACAGAGCAGCCACAATACTTGCCCCACAAGAAGAGCTGGGGAGGAGAGGAGCTTAAAGCAGGCATGAAACTGGAGCCTACATTACAACAGCAGCATTTCAGCTGGGAATGGTAAATCTCTTCAATAAAGCAAACAGCATTAAGGCATTTTAAATTAAAGTGGATAATTTCACTGGATTTCTCCTTTTCTTCCAAAAAATTATGAGGCAAGGTGGTGGAAATCTAGATCTTAAAATCACTTCATTTACAATTTTTACTACCCAAAAAAGCCTCTCCATGAGCAAGCCATGTAATCTGCAAATTATGCAGTTCAAAGGCACATCATCACGGCAAAATGGAAACATCTTGTACAACCTCATCTCATCAAGACACAACAGACAGACAGCGAGAATCAGGTGTGAGGAAAACAAAAATAAAACTTGAGTAACTGATCTGTGCCCCCAAAGGACAGGACTCCTTTTTATTCCACTAACTACATATTCTACATATTTGCCTACAAGCGCTGAATCTGCACACTGAGAATACTCGGGTTATTTTTGAAAAGTGACAGTAGGAGATTAAAAAAAAAAAAAAAAAGCTTATGAGCTGCCGTCAGAACGTTCTAAAGAATCTATTCTCTGCAAAAACTTTCCCTCAGAAAGCAGCTGGTACAGCTTTCCCAGCCAGGATTCAAAGGGATTACCAGGAAGCTTCCAGCCATGGGTATTACATTGAATACAGGTGTTTTCTAGCAATGTTGATACAAAGAAGACTGTTTAAGAAATTGTTTTTCACCAGATAGGAACCAAGTGGCACCTGTCCACTCTGAGTGGGGCCTGCACAGCCCCACAGCACTACGTGCACCATGCAGCTCCCTCAAGCAGCGACAGCAGAGCAAGATCTGTGCCTAATGGCACTTCACAGATGAAATAATAAATTGTACAGTTACAAATTATGACAAAAAAAATAATGCTTCATCCCATGCTTGGTTAACTGAGCAGTCTGGAGCACTTCATGTCTGAATATTTCAGGCCTTTACTTGTTCCAGCATCTCTATTATTCAGTTGTTGCATCTTTGGCTTTTATTATACCTCCTTTTACTGCACTGCTTCAAAACAGTGCTAATTTATTCTCTTGTATCATAAAAATCCTAATGCATTTTTCTGACTTACTTCAAAGCATTGGTTTCTATCAGCTGGTCTCACAGTGCTTATTTTCTCTATCTTTCTTCTTGCACCTGCTAGTTGAAATGTTTTTTCTTTCCTCTCCTCCCTCCCAGTTCCTAAGAATACAGCCTCCTACTATTCAGCAGAAATGGGTTAAAAGGTGTCTATAGAGAGAGGGAGCTAAGCATTTCTGCATGTTCAATTCAATCAGAATGATTCATAAATTAAGGGACTATTTTGGATCTGCTCTCTTAGGTAGCACAGTCCCTCATATTGAGTTATGCATGAAGAGTAGGAAGTGCATTTGTCTTCCTTGCAACTTCCTTCAGCCTCTGGGTACTGTTATAACCTTGTGGTCATGGGGAATAAGAGCTATTGATGTTTAGTGGATTCAGATTTATTGCGGAAAGTATCTGTTGCTCCCTCTGTGTAAATAAAGCATAGAAAAACTATGCTTATATTCTCTCTAAAGGCAATGCTTCTCCCCAGACAGCACAACAACCTGTCTGAAACTCCTGTAAGAAAAATCCATAGTAAAAGCGAGGATATGGATATAGACTACAATTAATCCCTGCATAATTTTGTCTGCTTGCTCTGACTGTGCTTAACCCCTCCATGACTGTACAATTTTCAGATTTGCCTTCATAAGCAAATCCCTTTCACTGTTGCCTATGGGATGCCACATTTCTGCCTGGATGGACAGATGTCAAAGCTCAGTCAAAGTCTGGTTCTCTGACCAAACTTCCAGGAGTCAGATAGCCAAGGGGAAAAATCCTCAAATTTTATAACTTAGATATTATTTCAGGGTGGAAAAATTGGATATTTCCAGATTTTTCTGAATGTTTGGTAGTTCTGTCTTTGGCTCCTTTCAATCGTTATCACCCAGGCATTCTGAAGAGTATCTTTAGCATTCTGGATCCAGAGAAGACTTGCATGTTTCTGGCCTACATCTTGTCTGTCCTGGGCTTTATAAAAGTAATAGTTTATGTGACATGACCTACACACCCTTTAATTGGTAGTTATAATACCTTTACAAGTGAAAACGTGACTTACAAAAGTGCAGTCCTGCACTTACATCAAACAAGTACGCCTGTAGACAAGTGCTGGGAACGCCAAATGCACTTCAAAACTATCTTTTTCACATTGCTGCTATTCTACTCTTGGAGCTCTCTTAAACATAGGCTGATTTTCACTTAACACAGAATTGTGTTGAACAGTGCATTTTATTTTATGTACAACTGTCAAAGGCTATTAAGGACAGCTTCAGCCAGGTAATTTCTTTGGTTTTTTTACTTGTGACATCAGGAAGGACACAAGCCTAGGTCTCCAGAAGTTGAAAGAACAGAGCTAAGTTCTCAGCCAAAATGCGTCACATACTGGCACTTAAATAAAACCAGATGACTCAACAGAAGACACTGCTTCATAGTTTAAGATAACTCACTTCTTGGCTAATGTAACTTTCAATTGTTTCTTTTTAATCTGACTTTATATGTATATATGCATATTCTTTTTGAAAACTACTTTAATAATTTATGAACTTTGTTGTTTTCCAAGAAACCGGTTTCAATATAGTATTGGGTCTTCATACATTTGAAATACGTTCCAGACAGAACCACCACAGCCAATTTTTTCTTCACTGTTCAGTCTTCAAAACATAACTCATATCTACTAAGTTTGAAAAAGTCTTGACTTTGTTTCATTCTCAGTATAATTCATTGTGAAAGATTTGAGTATTTCAAGCTCTTTACAATATACTTAACCATCAGCACTTACAATCTACTTGCTCCAAAGCTTTTTACGTACCTAATACAAACCTCGGATTAAAAGAAAGTCTTATAATTACTATTCTGTAACCTGAAATTACATTGGCACATTTCCCTCATGACTTAAATACATTCTTCTATTGCATACTGACAAATTGTTTTCTGTACATGCTTCTATTGTATTTTCAACACTTACTACAGCCTTGGACATTTCAGCACATGCGCTTTTTATTTTTGAACAGCAAATAATAGTCTCGTGTTTTGAGACAAAGCTTGACTAATTTATTCATAGCTACCTTTTTCTGTTCTCCGTAATATTTTTTTAATTTAAAATTTTGAGAATTTAAGAGTTCTGTATCAGGTTTGTTTATTGAAAGGTATTTTTTTGTGTTTGCTCTCAAGTCCTTGGTTAGCTGACTCATCTCACAATGGCACACTACAGGGTCATGTCAGGAAAAAGGCAAACATGATCTGGATCGCAGTTCATATCTGATAAAACACTACAGCTTCAGTAACGTCAACATTATTACAAAACTAATTGCAAAGAACCACAACTCCTCTATGCTACATTTTGGGGCAAATACTCCAGAGCCTTCACTGAGGGTAGCTGGTGCCATAAAGCACTTACCCCCTCTCAGTGGTGGTGGCAGTCTACCTTTATGAGAACACTTTCGGACAGTCTCCTACAGTGGCAGAAATTACAGAGACTTCTCCTGTATTGACTACCACTGGCTGCTGCCCTTCATCAGAGGAACAAATCTTGGCTCTCCAGCAGAGACTGGAGAGGCTCTGGAGGGTTCTCCAAAACCCCACCGCTAATTGTGTCCAAGCCGTAACAGGACAGAATATGCATAATCATAGTGATGTTTATTATTAAAATATCTATGCCAAAAAATTATCTTACCAAAAGGAGGAGACTCTCTCCCATCTTCTAATCCTGAATCTCGCTCTCTGTCTCTCTTTCTGTGTTTATGTCCACGGTGCCTATGGCGTCGGTGACTTTTTCTTCCACCCAGTGGCACGTGAACTCCAATGAACAATGTCCGATGGCCTACAGGCAAAAAAAGTTACCTTTTAAAAAGGAGCTGTGACAACATAGTAACTATATTAATAACCATAACAGCATTGATGATATAATAATTATTATAATTGTGTAATTGTATAATATTGATTAGTCTAAATGTTAATAGTTGTAACATTATTGATTACAATAACAATGATGTAACATCACAGATATACAACCCCTTCATACAGGACAAAATCCCATTATTGAAGTCTTTATGATAGAGTGCCAGATTTATTTTTTTTTCCTTCAAATTTGCATCTCTGTGTGTGAACTTTCATTAATGCCAGACAGGCGCTCTGTAAAATGCCTTCCAAAACAGTAACACAAAGAGACACATGGATCTCTCTGCATTGAACATTTGGTAAGTTGCTGTTTGCTTTGTGTGTACAGGAACTTTACAAAACTCATTGCTGTTTATGAGACAAACCTTGACAGAATTCTTGTGGGAAATTCACTGAAGGGAAAAGAAAAAAAAATGGAGACCGAAAAAACAATAAAACACTATGGAAGCTAGACTGCAAAATCCCTGTACAACTTTACGTGCTCACATCATAAATACACTGCTGGTAGCTTCGGGTGTTTTCATTTCTTCTATTTATTTTTTAAAATATGTAAGAAGGTACACATTGCCATGCCTGCCACCATCTTTGAGCCTGAGGAATTTTATGTTGCTGATCAAGCGCAAAAGATTTAGCTCCCTTAGCTATGTGGGCTAACAGGATCAGAGCACAGTAAAGCATTTAGAAGGGGGAGAGCACGGGGGGAAATATGCAGAAAGTACCACAAAACACAACAAATGGAAAGTAATCATGACTCACTACAGGCAGGTCTCCTACATTTATTCAGCAGAAAGACACAGGCTAGATTACTCATCTCAAATAACATTTATTTTCTCCTTGAAATGAGCATAACACAGCTAGTGGATAATTGCTGCTTTGCTGTAATCATTCAGCAGTGTCAATCATCTGAAAAAGGTCAAGAACACTAAGCTAAGGTAGCACGTGATCTCTAATCCCATGGAGACTCCAGTGGGGGCACAAAACACAGCAAGGCAGCATTTGTCACAATACATCAAAGAAATTCAAGGTTGACAGGAATTCTCTGTAGAGGCAGAGCTAAAAAAGCTGGAGAAAAGGCTCTGGACACCATGCTAGTTACTTCCTCAACTTTGATTCATGTAGAGGAGACTAGAAAGCCGAGGCATCAATTTTGGGGAGACTATTCTTGTAGAGTCAGGAGATTTTTCTGAAGCAAACGCCACAAGTTGAAAATTTTATTTATTTATTTATTAGCTACCTCTTTCTTCTTGCTTATTACATTTAATCCAAGAAATGATTTAAAAAGAACTGCTGCCTTTGGTGTATTTCAAATGTATTGCAATCAGTGGTGCGTAAAACAAGGAAAAATGTATTCCATAGAAAGAACTCATTAAAAAGATACTGAAGGAACAGCTGTAATGTAGTACTCAACACTTCTCTTCCCCCTTCCTTGGGTAGAAAAAAAAAACAAACCAACATTTTGAAAGGAATGGAGTTACCCTTCCTAAGACTTTAATAATTTCCAGAGGTGCAAATAGATGGCTTTTTTAATTTAGTAATTTAAATCATTCCTGCTGCTTTGTGATAGAAGTGGGTATGCTTATCCTAGTTTTGTGCCACTTCAATGCTCAGGTTGTACCTGCATCAGGAAATGGAGATTCAGGTTCACACTTCAATTAATTTCCAGGGCTGAATGCAGGACTTAAGTCCAGACTGTTCTTTATTCAGTAAACCAGGAAACGGGCCCTAAAATGCCAGAACATTCATGTGTGTCTGAATACCACAATTCTCCCTATACAGACAGAATCAGTTCACACTGAAAAGAAAACAGGAACCTGGAAACTGAAATGGATAAGCAAGAAAAAGCAAAATTGATTTTATTCCTTCTGTGTGAACCTACTGAGGCCAACAGAGTTCTACCAAGGCATAATTTCAATAAACAGAGAGTAACCTAGGTCCTTGTAACAAGGTTCAGGCAAATAAGAGGAAAGAAGAGAAATTGACAGGGGAAAAGGGATAGATTTCTATAGAAAAATGATAGAGCAAAATGCAAAAGTAAAAAATCTGAAAGAGTTAAGAAGTTCTGGTTTATTAAAAGACCACAACTGTAGAGCAAAAAAAGACCAGCTGGGAACAAAAGAAAAATTAATGAATTCTAAATTGCTGGCAAAATGACAGTGAGTGATAAAAACGGTGAAAAAAAAAATAGGAAAGACAAAAGAAATCCAATGACTAAAATGACCTTACTTCAAGTAACCTTTTGATGGTGAAGATTATAAACTAGTGCCTGGAATGTAAGGTCCTTTTTCCTGTACAAGTCGACCGAGACATTACTAAAGAAGAGTTTCCAGTGAGCTCCGTAAGTTTCCCAAGCCCAGAATGCCAAGCAGGAGGCTCCCCTGCAGTCTCCAGGACAGAGCAGGGCAGAAACACCATGCTTTCTCTGACAGACAATTTCTTGCTGCCTTACTCTGGAGAGGAGCATCCACACCTGTTCCAATGAAGCTCTTCAACAGATTTTTTTTCCCCTACAGACTTGCATTATTTGAATGTGAGAATAATTTGAAGATGAGAATAAACAAGAACTCTGCTTAATATAAAACTTCTAACAGAAATACCAAATGAACCTTTAAGCCACAATTCTAAAACAAGTTTTTTTCCAAAACAACTTTTTTCCAAAAATTCTACATTTCAAGAGGATCTAAAGAGGATTTGCTTTTATTCCCATTGCCATAAGCAAGTCCCAAGAATCAGCTAGGCTCTGTCATTTTAATGTTGTGCACAAAAGCAGTTACTAGAAGATTTCTGTCCCAGCATAACATGAATCCAGGTTGCGGATAGCTCCTGAACATCACTGACACCAGTTCCAAGTGACACCAATATTTCCTCCCCAAAAATGCAAAACTGGGTAAAGAAGACCTTTTCTTCTAACAGCCATTTTTATACCTTCAGCACCTATATTTACTATATGGGTTAAACTGACTAAATTCTCCAAAGAAAGATCATCTATAATTTGAATTTGGCTGAAGTCAATTGCAGGACATCCAATAGGATTCAGATTTGTTCCTTATAATTTATAACTAATTGTATAAGGGCATTTCTTTCATTTAAGAGCTTTTTGTGTGTGTTTTATTATTTACTTCATCAGGATGCCATCTAAAAATGCCTAAATATTGATTAAATGTTGTAAAATAATCCTGCTCTGCTGTACATTTGCACAGCACCAGGCTTAATTAGTTCATAATTTCTCATTCTTTTGGCAAGGTTACAAAGGCACTGCAGTGTGGGAGATAGTAACAACTGTAAGTTACATCAGGGTACATACTGTCAACACCAGGTACAACCTAAGAACCATTCTCACACAGAATTTATACACGGTTTTAAGAGGTGAGCATAACAAACAATGGATTTATAACTCTTTAAAGCCAAGTCTTCAAAAATACTATGCTGGGCATCACTTTTGGACAATTTTATCACCTACGCTGCACACCATGTGCTGTAGAGTCCCATCACCCGAGAAAGGGCTAAAGTTGTTAGCCAAAAATCTACAAATGGATTAATGTTTTGCGTTTCATTGCATGTTTACAAAACAGGTTTTTTCAGTTGTATTTTTCCAATGCTTGTGTTTTCTTCCAAAAAATGTTAACAGCTGAAGTGGTCAATTACAGTTTATTTTATTATTACTGTATTCAGTCAGTTTGGTTTGCTTCTCCCCTCTTCCAAGGAACTGTCCTATAATGGGAAAAATCATACTAGAAACATTTCTTTATTCTATACCTCTCAGCCAAGGACTATGGTGGGTATGTTGTAAGATACTTGTGCATGCATGCATAGTGAGCCACACGTAATCAGGTCCATGGAAACATATACAGATGAAATGCACTCAGGTACACACATGCAGATCTGTAGTTCTAGACACCCTTAAGAGACTGGCCTATTGTCCATTCTCAGAAAAAAATTTACATCTAATACATCAAAAAAGGATTTCTTCTGCTGATTCTTACTTCAAAATAAATGAAAGAATTTCTATGCTGAGAAAGGTTTATTCCTCTCCATGGTTTATGTTATGTTTAATTTATGTTATACTTTTAAAAATAGGAATTAATTTAGATATCAGTGAGCCATAGGACTTGTGTGATCTTCCTGAGCTTTTTCAACTAACCTTACATTAACATCAATAGAGTTTTATCACAGAAAGACTATGATTTTGTTCCTGCAAAAATACACTCTGAACTAAAATGTTGATTTATTCAAGATGTGCCGCTAGGAAAGCTAAACATAAGTGCATGCATAAATATTTTCAGTATTAGGATTTAGGAGTGAATCATTTTTAAAAACTGAACCTCTGAGAAAATACATTAATATACAATGATTATTTATAATCTGAAAGCTTATTAAAGAAATGCAATACACTGAATTGATCTGCTCTGCAATGTCATCTTTATACAATGCTGCACGTCCACTGTTAAATTGTATAAATATTGTTTTGAAAAAAAGACTATTCTTAATCAAATTGCACATAGCTGGGGACCAAAACTCAGAATATACAGTTAGTTCAAATCTATGCATTTATAGTGTAAGAAAGAGGCTTTGGCCCCTTGTGGTTTACCTTTGAAGCATTAAAACACTCTTTAAGTAAAAATATTTGAAGGATTAAAGAAATAATGACCCTTGTTATAAAGTGTTCTTTTTAATTTTTACAGGATTACATTAATAAATCCAAATTATGTCATAAAAGATTTTAAAGGCATCCTGTTAATTATATTTAATTATATTATTTTATATATAAATAAAATATATTTAATTTTCAGACAGATGAAAGCACATATATAAGCAGATGTAAAAATCAGGATTTCCCCCAAACTTTTGAAGAAAAAGTGTATTGTGCTGTAAATATATCCACTTTGTGGAGGTATGAATTCTTTGCCCTAGAAAAGACAGATATGA